TAGTAAATAATTATTTATTTTTAAAGGAAGTAATTTTTAAAATGCTTATGCAAAGACTATTTTTTAAAACGGTGCCAGTACAAGAGGATTCTAATCTTATTTTTATTAAAATTGCATTCACGATTGCAATAATGATATTAATGTGTGTTCTCTTGAACTCTATATAGAGATATGTAAAATTTTAAGTCAGCATTCCATCTATTTCATGTGACTTCCATTCAGACTGGTAGAATAGTTAATAATTCATGTACTTATTGTGTAAATATTCTTTACAATACCCTGTGATCGCATAAGCGTAGGCATATACTTTATTTATAATTTTATTACCGAACTTTGTATTATACATTAAATTGAAATATTTCGTGAAACGAGATTGAAGTCTTCCTCGAAATTTTTTGCAGTATCTTTCGCGCGTACTTATTTTTACAGAACGTTCCATTTTTTCCGTTCTACCTCTTGTATATGACCATTTAATTTATTTTATATGTGCATACCTTGTAACAGCAAATATACGTGTTCTCATTTCAACGATGTATACGGTTATTGCCCTGCTTATTATCCTATTTAGCTATCGACCAGTCACGTAAGTATCTAATTGTATGAAATAGTGCACGCCGCTTAAAATTATACAAGGCCATAGAATCAGCGACAGTTGAAGCTAGTTGACGCTATTACTGCTTCGTGCGAGTTAACGGAAAATTTTGAATTTCCAACGTTCCTGTACTGTACGAGCTTTCTAATTCCGTTTATTTTTACAAACAGGATGTTTATTAATGCGAAAAAGAATGCGCTGGGAAGCAGAGAGACGAGAAAACTTTAAGCTGTCGAGTCTCCTGGAGGGCAGAAGGGGCAAAGGCTTCAAGATATTCGAGAAACGACCGAATCCGAGAGACTTTAGTAAACTGAACACGGAACCGGAAACCTCGGAGGACGAGCACCCGGAAAACAGCCTCGCGAGGGTTATTTAATTCGAAAGCGTTACATGTTAAGTTTATTTACCGTTTGACTTGATGCTCCCTGTTGCATGCAGATTCAAACCTGGGATGTTACATCGTACTCTGATTACGGGATTCGCCGATAAACACCTCACAACTTGTTGCCTTCCGACGCGAGAACACTCGAGCATCACTCGTTCAGTTAAGTATACACGACTACTTCAATTAAATCGAATCAATATATTTATACTGTTCGGAAAACTTTGTAACAACCGAACGAAAAAGCACTGATGTTACCGGTTCCAATTTCGCCGTTGAGTGGCACGAATTCGCGCCGATGGGCAGCTAGCCGAGTTCACCCGACTATGGCCGAACGTGGACGAGCGCGCTATTTGAATCTGCTGCTGTAAACGCTCGCGCGATTAAAGTATAATCACTTCGAGTTTACATGAAATACATTTCCTATTGTACATTTTGAACGATATCTGAATCTGACGAAGTATTAAAACACGTTTTCCTCGCTGTTGAGAGATGAGATATATGGACTAAGATGTTTGTGTGTATTTTAAAATAATATTTGAAATCGATGCGCACTTGCGGATGTCCTACCAATCGAATAGTATTTTTGAGAAACTGCCGGTATTTTCGTGTTAGTTTTTCATCGACTGTGCTACATTCTTGGCAAAAAAGAATATTCTATTCCTAAAGTGCTTCAAATTACATGCGACGCTAATCGATGCTAAAAGTCAGGCAAGAAAAGTTTCTAAGGTTTGACAAGTTCGTTAAGGCAAAATGAATGTATTTAAATATTTTGGAATTACGAGAAATGATCTACTTTTCATTGACATACTATCAATGTAGATCGATAGGCGACTTATGGAACATGAGGCAGATTATCCTATTTGTTGAATACATCAAGTAAGATTTTATGATCAATATATCGATTGTGTGTTTGAAACTTGCGGGAGTTAATTCTAAGGATATTTCTCTCGAAATACTATAACTTACCTGATAATAATGGCCTTGCAAATGATACTTGGAAAGTGACCAAACTTGTGCTATACATATTATCTGTCAATATCTATCTAAAAATTATATTGCATAATTATATATATATATATATATTGTGAAACCATGACATATCCCCTTAAAAATATAAGGAAAGAACCTATTAAATCTATATTTCATCTGAAACACAACTGTGTCGCTGTCGATATGTACTGGTTACTTTCTGTTCTAAGCTTTAACTGTACTACTTACAAGCGTGTTCAATGAAGACAGTATTTTAAATAGTACCTGAAGACTATATTATAATCTCGGAATGCATTTAATTTTGTACACTACATCTTCGAAGCTTATTTTCGTTCCTTAATTAGTTGTTAAGTCTTAATTTAACATTTCGACAATGTACTCTAGTATATAAGTGGAAGTACTTAAGTTATTAGATCGAATACTTTGCGAATACCATTCTGTACGTTGTCGTAATATGATACATGTACTCGTGAACATGGAAATGTATATATTCAAATAAAAAAAAAATGTGTGTTTGTACCACCGTAAGTATTCAATCGGGTCGAGTATGCAACAGGTTACGAGACGTTTGACTTTTTGATAATGATTTATTTTACACACTTAGTTGTCCTCTATACACAACTATACAACGATAAAAATTAAAATTCTTCTATTTATCACTAATTAAGGTCATCGACGATAATGATCCGTGTTAGAGATGCGATAAAAGTCAGTCCATTCTTTCGCGACACATTCTATCCAAGTATATTCATCGATTATCGCAAACGTACGGGACCAAACAGAACGTCCGCTCAGAAACGCGTAGATCGCAATTTAATTCGTTCGCCAGCAAGCGCGACACTTCGAGAGAGAGTGATCCGATCTTGAGAAAGATGCCTATCCACGCATGCAGATGGTAAATAAATATTATTATCTTCCGCGCAGTCAATCAGAAATATGTTTCCAACAATTTCCTGTGATACGCTTGAGTCATCGTCGCCGGCAGTTTCTGATCTTATATTAAATATGTATTATAAATATTTTAAATATTGTAAATATTTAGATGAAAGTAAACCGGATGCGCAGGAGTACGCACAGAGGAGCATCGTCAGGCTGGACACGTTATTTCTGCCAATCCTATAAAACGAGCTGTTTTTAGTAACTATAACTTGGTTCTGCAGATTTATCACACACTTTTTATCTTTAAGGTCTTCAACTCGTATTCATGTGAATTAATATTTCTAATATTTTTTAGATCTTCTGGAGGCTCTACTACAGAAGAGACTACATTTACTGTGTTAATAAATAATAAATTCTACATCAAGGTACAAGATTTTATTTCATTCACTTTCCGTATCCAAAAAACGCGAAGCTCCTCTTCGCGTACCTCCTCGTACGTGACGTAGACACTCTGACGGTCCTCGGCATTACCACTCGCATACTCGTGATGCAGCCAACCACCGTTGCAATATAAAAACGTGCGAGTCCATAGCGCAGAAAATATATATCGTGAGAACAGACATAAAGCGAGGGAAAAAAAGGACGAACGTTAAACAAGGAGAATAGAATTAAAGTCAGTTCAAGTACAAACCGTTTCATCCCGAACACAAGTCGCACCAGCAGGATGAAATACTGTGAAACACATCCTCCCCTCGCGGCGTCTACACCATTTCTTTCGTTTCTACTTTTCCCTTTGTCTTGTTTGTACATTAAAAATCGTATACGTTTCGTAGTAATACACTGACAACTGCATATCGTTAATTCCATAGTTTTACCACTAAATTTTACCTAAAACTACCGTAAATTCGTAACTAGAATAATCGATCGTCGTGTCGTGTCTGTCGCGGATCACTACTACTGGTACCGCTTGTGGTTCCGTTGCGATATCGTGCGCGGGACTCGTCGCTGTCGTGGGCACAAGAAACAATAAAAAAAGAAGAAAATATTGTTCGAACAGCGCGGGGCCCAATATATCACAATGTCCAAGTATACTCGTGTTCGTCCGTCGGTAATTGGGGAGGATATCTTTTACTTACGATATTCAATTTCATTATCAATGTTAGACGTATACCTTCTATTTACAAAACTTACGCTTCGGTGTACAACAACGGAACAATCTATATTTATAGCGTCCTATAAGGGATTATTTAGGAATGCAATATACGGAGGTGCTAAATTGCGATCATTTTTTTTTTCGTTTAATTACACAAAGTACTGTTTCTTTCATGCAAGACTCGACGGTACGCGCGCACTGCTCTTCTCGAAGCGGGCGGAACTCGTTCGAACGCGGCGGTGTCCGCTTCGTTTCGCCGTGACGAGAATCGAGCCAGTCCGCGCTCGAAGTACAAAGCCGAACAAAGAAAGACTAGCTTCTTTTGCCTTAGTAATTTAACTTATACGACTTGTCGTTTATAGTTATTAAAGCTTAATGCGATCGTTGAACAGTGATTTGTCCGCCTGAACGTGGATTAAGTACAGTCAAAATCGGTACGCAGGAAAAAATCGTGGGGGACGGAGGGACGGGGGGACGCGGTTTCTTTCGGCTCTCGTATAAATAGGGGACGCAGGAGGAACGGAACTGAATCGGGGTTCTCCGAAAGCGGGCGGTTACGAGTCGTGTACGTACACATTATTGAATAGCCGAGCTAGAGCGATCGGTCATCTCGTCGTATGCAAAACTTAATAATATTAATCGTAATCTATAATATATCTGTGTATACGCCAATTCTTTCACTATATTTACAATGCCATACGTAATACTATAATAACTTGTCGTATACTTTTCGTTACACCGTACCGCGATGCGTGAGTCTTACTTTACGTAACGACCATTGTTTGCTTTGCTCGTAAAAAATCAACGAATCAATCGCAAAATGCAGTCACAAATCATTTTCCGAATTTCCGTAACCTTTCTAGTACGTGGGTAAAAACAACGTTACTCCTATAAACAATAATCCTTCAACTAAAACATCACGGACACGCGAATGGTAGGAAACTGTCTGATCAGCATCGGTGTTGCGGTAATACATGAGCTTATGAAGCAATCAACACACACTTTCCGACGTTGCACAGCTTCATTGTGACACGAACTCTTCGTTCTTCCACTTGACGGAGCATTTCTTCCTTCTTCCTCCACAGATTTATCCCTCCACGGATTCAAACGATTCGCCACGTTAATCTAAACCGTCTTCCTAGCTTCCGGGTCAATCGATCTCCGCAATCGTGTGCATGATTATCGGAACACAGTGTTTCAACATAGTTAAGTACACGTGCAGATTCATTGCTATTAAACTCGAAGGAGTACCCATCTCTCGTTACGATCATAAAAAACATGTTCGTTGTTGCCTTAGTTGCCTCCAACTTAGCCGTGAGGTACTAACGACGCGTTATTCCCTGTGTTGCAGTTTCTCCGATCTCACCTCGCAGCTGCCAGAACTAGTTACCACCTAAATAGAAACCAGACTATCTTCGTGTGCACAGTTGGCTGGTATAACGGTAAAATCCTTAGTCGCTCCTCTTTCATTCGCTTCCTCGAAATTCCGACCTGGTACTCTCCGACGCGGAGACAGAATTCTGTGTCACGATGCTTCACGATTGAAGTTGCTGGTAGTTGGTATCGTTCGTTCGACGTTTGAAAACGCGAATGCACGCTTTTCGTCGTTCGGGATCACCGTCGAACGATCCCGATCGTCGTTGACTACCAACAAGCAACAGCGTCGTCCCTTCCGTCGCTTCTGTCCGCTACCCTGCACATCGACCATTCAGAACCAGTGTCCATGAGAAGACCCTTCTCCTCGTGCGTCACGACAGAACTGATCGTAGAGTTAGTACCAGTGTTGATCGAAGCACCTCAGTAAACGGAATTGTACTCTATGTCGTGGGCATACTGTGGCGGCCCGCCGGGCGGCGGCGGCTGCGGACTGTATTGTTGCGACGCATCCGATGCGCGACGCCTAAGCGCCGCGATGCTATGGGCGCCTCTCCAATCCGACGCCTCCGTCGCGTTCACATCGGCGGCCACGCAGGACACACCGCCACCGCCGCCTCCGCTGCCGGAAGTTGTCCCCGGTGAACCCTGGCCGCAGTTCAAGGACGAGCCTAGTCCGCCACCCTGACCGCCGCCCACGCTCGATCCTTCCGGAGGGGAGCCTCGAGACGCTGACATGTGAACACCCCCTGTAACCCAGGAAAAAATACATAGTACCACGCTTACGGTTAACTATAAATCTTCTATATTACGTATTTAAGCGTTACATCCGGTATAGGAAACTTGAAGTTTATAGCAAATTTACTCAGCAAACATTAAACCGAGTGTTATTTCTAGAATGACTTTACATCTTTGAGAATATCGATGTTATGCTGTATTTAATGTCTATAGTCTGAAAGTATCAATTCAGCGGTGTACAAATAATCCTAGGCAACAAAGTTTGCTAAACGTAGGCTGTTCGGAAGTCGTTAAAAACTTGCAGAAATCGTTCAGAAAGAAGAACAACGGTTGAACCCGGGATGAACACCAACAATAGACGATGAAAGAGTGGATTATTTGTGAACGGTTTAGTGTGCAAACACCGGTTGCATCGGTTCATGCTCTGCCGTCGGATGCTGAAGACATTGCGCGTTATCGTTGATTCAACATTGTTCTTAGCTGCGCGTCGAATAGTCAGGCACGAATCCTTCAGCCGGGACAGGTAGCGAAAGGGCAATTTACAGGCACGATACCGCAGGTGCGCCGGGGAACGTTTCCTTTCTTCGCAGGAGATATTAATACGGTAGGCTCACAAAGTGCGTGGGGTGCGCGCTACCGGGTGTCGTAAAGTCGTTTCCGCCTCTTCCTGCGCCACGTTGGTGGCCCCGGCGAGAGACAACGGGGAAAAGGGATCTTTTTATGGCGGTATTGCGGCGAAAGCACAAGTTTGCGGAGGACTACGGAGCTGCCCCTTTTAGCGGGCTCCATGAAAGAATGGAATAGCTAATGGCATCGGCGGGCGTGATTTTACGGCGTTTTCTTCGACGATTCATGACTGTCAACTTCATCTGAAACTATCTGCGATTTTCTTTACTGTTTCTATTCTACTGAACGTCCGACCGGTAAAATATCTCTGCATGGTTCTCAAAGAAAATGTCTGGCTAACAGAGAGGAACTAACTAAGAGACTAACAAGAGTCTCGAACGATCCTTCAAACAAGAAATTAAATCTCAATAAAGGAGAAATTTAAATAAAACTTTAGCATCTTTTAAAATTTAATCTCCAATATGGAAACTTGAATTATAGATAAAAAAATATGGAAGGGTGATTGCACTCCTAAAACTTCCGTTACTGTTGGCTGTTCCGCGACTTCAACGTTCTGATAAAAACTGGAACGTTCACGACTCTCCCTTATAAGTTCCACGTTGATCGTCGCTTTCCAATGTCCCGCGAACCGGAGGACAATCCGGAGGATAAACCTAATTCGTGAAACCAGTTCGTTGCGTCCGTGGCTGTTCCGAGAGCGTTCACGGGGTCGCGCGACTCGAAAATCGGGCATTTTTCGGGCCCGGTTAATTCACACCTCATAGACGTCCGTTTGCCGACGCTGGTGAACGAGAATAAACAAAATAGAATTCCGTAATCGACTTGAAGACCGGCGAGCCATGGTCGCGCTACTGTTCGATGCTAATCATCATCGAAAACCGAAAAATAAGGCGATGCTCTAAAAGGTGTTTGTCGTAGGCATTACCGGACGAGTAAAAGCGGGATGACTGACTACGGCTAGGCCGGTCCCGGTATTGGCGTCCACCTTAAACCGAGTCCACACGAACCGTGGCTGACGGTAAATCGCGGCTGCGGAACGACGGATTTTTTTCTTTTCGGCTGACGCTACCTGCCCCGCGGCGATAATACGTGATAATTGACACCTTGTACATGTTACGTGTGTAAACATGTAAGTGTTCGCGTTTCAGGCGCGTCCGCGTCCGCGCGCGCATTGTGAAACTGTGCTACACCCGAAGGCGGTTTCGCCATATCGCCAAACTCCTAGCTCTTCTCGCGAGCACCATCGAGACTTCATTTAAACCAAATGTTCGATTCGGTTAAAGAGAGATTAATGTTTCATAAGAACCTCATTTCACGATATCAATTTTTGGCATACAGAAATTATACAGAAACATATTCAAATAATTAACTCATAGCCACGTCATTCGTACATAAATCCAGCCCGAATCACTTGACGTACAAAGAACAAGAGATTCCAATGAATTCTGGTATTTCAACCTTCTAAAACTGTAACTTAATCTCATTTTTTTCGAAAGAAAATCGCAGCAAATCGTATTCCGCCGTTTTCCCCATCGACACTTCAACCTCTATTTATACTGCATTTCTTTTTTCCCCAAATATTGCTTTTCGATTATCGGTCAAACGCTCGAAAAATTCCATTAGAAATAAACGCTCGGTGAGTCTATCGAAACGACTAAAATTCGGAAAGCGCAAATGAAGAATGCCGATCTTAGGAGTTGTTGACCTCGGCAAACGACGGCGTGGGATATATCCGGCCGGATTAATCAGTTTAAACGTGTCAATATGCATTTGACGTGGGCATCATCGGATAAGGTGTTTTTGGGTCAGGCTAAATAGCCGGGCATGCCGGAGCTCGGATCCTTCTCCATTCTGGAAACAATTACGCGGCCGGGCTTGATATAGCAAAGATGTTATTAACCGTGAGTGATCGAAAAGAATATACGGACAGCCAACCTGGAAACGGATCGGCCGGGTATGTTTTTTTAATCAATTATCGAAACTTCGATTACGCGTTCCTATTGAGACGCGAATTTTCCACCTGGACAGCTCGCGGATCAACGAACTTCGCGCTGCAGCGTGTTGTCTGTAACCTTTTTCCTCCGCGCCGCGTCGTTCCCCGGCGTCTTTTCGTAATTTCGCGTTAATACACGAAAAGCTCGTTTCGTGTTTCTTATTCTTTCGCGGCTGTGTTCACCGTTCGGAACGTTTCCACGGCGGCCATTCATGTCCCCGCGGTCTCGGAGCAGCGACGGCGAACAGAAATTTCGTGAGACAAAGAATTTCACACACGCCTCATCGGTCTGGCACCGTCGAAGGTACAAGGTCCCCCGGATAAGGTGAAGCGTAACTCAGCCAAGACAGGTTGCATCGGGATGTTATGGTAAACATACAGCGAAAGAACTCGCACCTAGGTGCGAGACCAGGCCCGGTGTTTGCCTGTGTAAACAGACGAGAGGACGGAGTTTATGTTTCTGTCTCAAATTCCTTGCATGCAGGCGCATAACCCCTTCGAGCGATAATGCACCGTAACGTTTAACGACTTCGTCAAAGAGGCACCGGGTTTCTCGATACTGTTTGCGTGTCGTCTTCTTTCACAGATGGGCGGGGTGCGGGGGGAGGGGAGCGAGGACCACGGTCCAAAAGTTTGGCAAGACGATTATCGAACCGCCTATAAGCGTCTGCGTTTGTACGCCGCGTTAATATTCCGTCGGGAATAGAAAATCTTCCTCTTGGGAACGTCCGTTTTCGCGGTTGATGCCGTCGGTCCCAGTCGCGGTTTAAAGGATCGCACGTTAATCTTCGTTATCTCGGTGTGTATCGCTTTCGAAGACATCCGGGTAACGTCATGGTAGGAGCTGTTCCTTAAAGTTATACGAATACCAACGATTCCCCTTGTTCCCCGAACTCTATCCGGCCCGAGATAGCGTAGATCGCTCATCGGAAGGAAATTAGCCTATATCTTTGCATTATTCAATGTCCGTGTAAATATTCTAGCTTTCTTTCTTGATACAGTTGGGGGCATACTCTTCGAAGTTCCAACTGAACGATACGAACGCGGAATTAGACCGAGGAGTATATTTAAGAATGATACGGTAAAAATGTCACGGTTCGATAGGGACGGGATGAATAATCAAGAGGTCGGATATTAACGGTTGCTTCCGAGTTGGACAATATTAATCCAAGCGCGGTGAAGACTTACCAAGGGAACTTAGCCCATAACTGGCTTGATAGACGGTCTGCGATGGACTGCTGATCGGGAGGCCGGAATTACCGAGACCCAAGCTCGAGCCGAGGCTCCCCGTGCTTTGCTGACCAAGTTGCCCTAAACTTGGCCCGAAACCGCCCATCCCCATGCCTCCCTGCCCCAATTGTCCAAGACCTGTAAAACAAGCGGTTTCAATTAAACCGGCGTCGCAGTCTCGGTCAGATCATCCCAAAAGGACAACCACGAACGGCGTCGATCGGACGAGCCGTTTAAGGGAAGAAAAAGGGAGTCGCGACGGTAGGAACAATGATACGAGTGGTTAATTGAAACTGCCCCGATTACCAGTGAAACACGAGATTAAATTAAATCCGACTCCGCTGTTGAAACTTTGTCTACGACATATTTAAAGACATCGTGTCCCCTATCCTACACGAAACGTTGATAATGAAGTCACGAGATGACAGGTAGAATTAAATGTAATTAAAGTAAATTCGAGCTATTTGTTGCGCTTAAACGGTCCTCCTGTACTTCTGGTTAAACGTATATCTAACGTGATTCGGAAGTTTATAAATTTCGTGGACAACTAACGCGTTTAGCGAGGCAAACGTCGCGTCTTTCGCGGTGCAAACGGAAACGAAGTTCGAGTCCGGATGATGCCTCTAAGCGATTCCGTTTCCAAAGAGTCAGGATCATTGACATATGTAAATGATGAGAATCTTTGAAGCCTGACCTGTTCCCATTCCCCATCTCTCAGCAGGTCCGTGAAACATTCCAGCGCCGCAGAGATCGGAGCTCATCGGGCCGAAAGGCGGCAAGCCGTGCGAGGGCAGCAACGTGCTTTGGGTCCGGAACATTGGTGCCGACTTCTTCCGTTTCTTCCACTTCGCCCGGCGATTTTGAAACCACACCTGGAACGATTCGTTTCACCGATTCTGAGTGCCACTCGAAGATGAATTGAACTGAACGGAAACCGATAAGTATACAAGTCGCTTATTCTAATTACGAATTCAAGTTCTTTCATAGGATGAAAAAATAAAGAAGATGACATTAACATTCTACGCAGCGTGGCGTTTCTCATACTTCATCCGTGCGTCACAGTTAATCCAAAAGGTACACAACTGTTCCACGATTACGTTGTAACACGGACACACGACGAACATTAAACGAAAGTACAAAAGAAGCTGGAGGATCTAGACTCGCCGAGTCGAATAAACCGAACCAGCCAGACTTTTCCGCGGCAGGAAATTCGATGGAAGACGTTAAGATGTCCCCGGGCGTTACGACAATATCTTCGACCCCACGGCGAGTAGCTATTAGCCGACGTTATGAGCTGTTGATTCTGGCCACGTAGTGGCCCCCTAAGCTGCCGGGGTCCCGGGGACTTGATTTATTGATATCGCATGCAAAGCCCACCCCTGCGTTCTCCGATATACCCTCGTCCTACATCCCCACCATTTCCCGCCTCCCCTGTTCCGGGCAGGCTACAGTCCCTTTCCTGGCCGCGGTAAAGCACGCTATAGCCATCTCATATGTGCCCATAAATTAGTACTTTAGCATTAGAGCGCGATGCGCGCGCGCTTGCGCCTCCGTTACGCACACGTACTCCGAGCTGCGTACCTGCGAGAGAGCAACAGCGACGGCCGGCTGCTTCACGGCCAAGCGGGAACGAGACAGCCGGCCGGCACCGGGGGTGGAGACACCCTCTGCTAACATGCAGGGATTATACGAATCTAATTGGATATATGGGATTTACAGGCTCCAGTGTGCTCCAGGTATTGCCAGAAAGCGATCGTCGGATTTCTACCCCGGAAGGCGGTTTATTATGAGCCACTAAGTTTCGAGAGAATGGAAAACCGCTACCGCTTTTCCTCGCCTCTCGCTGTATCCTCAGTGATCTTTGTTATTGAAGAAGAAACGATCGACCGATGAGTTTAAGTCCTCACTTTATGATTCACTTCGCGGGAAGCCTCGCAAGAATCACTTTGTCGTTAATAATCACCTAATAGGAGAAGAAATTATATGTTCTTCGTATAGGTTCACTGTAGAAGTTCAATGTTTATAAACGTACGAGTATTTTAAAGACTACTTATCAATAGTCATTATCGCTGTTGATATTTCCTTCGACCGTGCGTGAAGTATTTTGATGCAACGATTGCTCTCTTCCCATCGATGGTGGCTATCCGCAGAAATTGTTTGCCGGTCTCATTATCCCGGGATATCTTGGCTCATTTGACGAGGCTTAGGAACATCTGGCACGTCCGTTGCCTCTCAAGGATGGACGCTCGTGACGAGAGAATGGCATTAGAGCTGGGCGGTGTTAAGTGCGCCGCGATCGAATCGGTGTGCGTGGAACGGCCATTGGCGCAGCCAGTCGTCGGTTACGTCGTCCACGTAAGTCTGCCGTGGAAGATCGAATCAAACCGTCGTGTTCGGAAAAGATGCTGGGTTCCGATGCTCTGGAGGGACTCGGCAGCGATGCATGGAATATGCAAAATCTCGGCAGCCCCTGTGCTCAATCCCCCCGTCTTGCCGGGATGTCAATGCTTCCTTGCGGCATTCGTGGGTGTGGTTGCGTCGATTTCACGGTACAACTACGGCAGAACTACGGCTAAAAGCCCGTGGATAATTTGCTGGTTACACGCCACGTGAGCATCGACGATACAAGCCAGAAGAGGGAAAAAGCACAAGGGACTCTGTCGAGGCATATATCGCGCATTATCACGTGCCCACCCCTCGACGCCTCTCTCGCGGCCGTAGCCGATGCAGCCCGCGTACACGTACCGCAGAACTTCCGTTAATTAACGCAGGTGAATGCTAATGACTCCTGTTATGAAATAACTGCACGTAAAACGAGAGCTTTCGTCGACCGGCCGCGTTATCGACTGTTCTACCTCGACTGATCGCCGATCTTCGAGATAATTTAATACGTTCGTTGTATTCCACCTAGTGATTCGGATTACGAGTTTATCCTTCATTCGACGCGTTAAAGTCGCTTAAACGGCTAATCAATTATCGCGTCGAAATCTGTATCGGAAGCGTACTTTGCTGTTTCTTTTGAGTGTACTAAATGTCAGCTGTTTGGTGGAGTTTCAAAGGAATGTTCGTCGCCAAAGGAATCTTTGATTCATTTTTCGTGCGGACTGTTTTAAAGGTTGTTGAAAGTATGTAATATCTTTATGCGTTTTAAGAGTTTGATGCATATTTTGAAATAGCGGTAACTTGAAGGACTTAGATTTCAGTTCCCCGAATCCTTCAGATTTTCAATCAGGTCTATCAATCTGTATGGTTCTTTATGAAATAGTATTGTGCTTTTCATAATAACGATGAAATCACTCCCCCTATATGTAAAGCATGTTCAATAACCACCGACGACCGTAGATATCTATGAAATTGTGTTAATTACAAATATCACGACAGGAACCACGCTATGACGGGAATGAAACTATCGTCCTCTGTGATGACACGCGGACAAAGGTGATTCATACGAACCGATCCCAGACTAATTGCATACCTGACGTGATCGATAGATTATCGTCCATTAAATTCATGTATAGTTTAAAAATCCTGCACTAGTGTCACCGAAAGATTGCAAATTGATGGCTCTGCAATCGACGTAACTATTGAATAGTATCGGACGGGAATGTTCGGGATAGGAATAGAGACCCCTATCAATTACGCTTTTTAGGCACTATGCTTAAGACTCGTAAAGCAAGCTCATCAAAAAGTTCCTTAGAAATTGGGAAGAAAAATAAAACTATAAAATAAAAATAGTATATATTATCCTGTGGTCATCGGTCCTATTTTTTTATAAAACAATAAGAAATAGGCTTAGGATCGCCCATACAAATATCAGAGTCCATTAAAGCAAGACCAACGACAAGTTTAAAAGAAATTATAACAAGAAACAAGTATCAGAATAATTTCTATATCTTCGTCTATCCATGATTCACATTTTCTAAGAAAGAAAAAAAATGCAATTCAGTACAAGAGTGCCTGGGTTGTTCAGAAACCTCGACGCGGCCCTGTTAGCAGTCTATCGACAGGAATGAATCGACTGTTAACAAACACATTGAAGAATAGTAGAATGGCGTTAAGGGTTCTGGTGGTAGCCGTCTGGATCGAACCACCGAACACACCTTTCGATGACTAAGGTGGCTCGACTGATGCGCCTTTCGTGAGTATAATACCTGCGTTTGAGACGGGCCGATCAATTAGGAACATTGCTTTTTAAAAATTGATCAATCACGGCATCGCTGTTGCGGGCGGCGCACGCGCCGGTCGCAGCTGTTCCCAGGAAGCACCTGGAGGCATGGCGAGGGTGCAAGCGAAAGCAAATGCTCTCTCGAATAATCAGCATCAGTCGTGATGATGACTGGGCGTTGCATTGGAATATACGATCGAAAACGCAACTCGAATTGATGTCTCCACGTGCATAGAAGAACTCCTATCGACGTTCATTTATAAGTACATCACGTACATCTATAAATACGAGTCCCAAGTCCGTTCATTTCTTTTATCCACACAGAATATACGATTAAATCTCTATAGCGTATCGAACTCTTAAAAGTAAAATCTTGTGTTTTCGCCATTATATATTCTTGGCGATCGACCCTTATTTTAAACGTGGAAGTTTCGCCGGTTTCCAGATTAAGAACACCGACTGGGCTTAAATACTGCTATTCGTGTCAAACGCAAAACGTAATTGGAAACTAATTCGGATGAATCGACTTTGGTTTAATTTTTCGTTGGACTTATTTTTATTAAACGACAAATCAAATAGAATATAAATAAGAAAAATCTGCAATTAATCCTAATTTGTGTATGTCTATCTTAACCGATGGAATCAGAATGTTTATATTGTCATATTATTTGACTTCATATAAATTTCATAAATTTGATACTTTTTGAAAGATAGCGCATTTCTAAACAGAATGTTCAACTGCGCGAAATTGATAATTACCATTAACATTTAGTCTTCTAGTCTATTTGATCCAATCACGTTTTCATTCTTTCAGCAGCATTTCGTTCGTTCGGTCTCTTCCTAGTTAATGCCAAATAATAATTCGAATTTCCGAATATTACGAAAATTTATTACTAGTATGCATGCTCTATATTACTCAACAATATTTCAAATCTATAGATAAATTCACCAGAATAGCAGGGTCGAAACTAATCGGTTAATTTCCGCAAGAATACGCGGTGCTGTTCTCTTCATTTTATTCCCATGTGTGAATCGGGCAGGCTTAGTTTAACTCGGGAAAAGAGTTTCTCGAGCCGTCGGAGGGCCGAAAGGTGGCAAGAGGCAAGGTTCGGCCGTGCCGGGAGGGAAGGTGGTGGCCTAAAGGTTAGGGCGAGGTTTAGGTGGTGGAGGGGGCGGCGGCGAGACCTCGTAAAGGGGGTTTCAACGGGCGCTGATATAAATTGAGCTTGCCATCAAGGCAAGCGGCGGGATCTGGCCAAGACCCCAAGATATATAGAAGTAGCTTTCAGCGCGCCATTGAAGAATAGTTCGACTCACTTCGCGGAAAAATGCTCGGAATCGCCGCAAAACGGGATAACGTTTCTCTTTCGAGACTCGACCCCCGCGAGCCAAGGGGGCGAGAGAACTTTTCACCGGATGAAAACTTAATTCATCGCTCATCGTTCCCCTCTGTCCCTCAAGGATGTATTCCCAGCTCGATCACGGCGGAACGTATGAATCTTCCTTCTACTTTCGGCCGCGAGACGCGTCAAGTAGAACGAGACGGCCGCGAGCCAGACTCAACTCCCCGGTAACGCGAACCGAATTCGCGAATAACAATCGTCGGTCGAAACAATCGACCCTTCGGCGTTTTAAACGGCGCCGTAATTAATAAACAATCGACCCTCCGGTCGATTTTAAATGGCGCCGTAATTAATCGAATTCATG